GCACACACATTTCAACAGAGGAGGGCTTGAACTTGTACTACCCAAGCATAGCTCGGCAAAGGAGCACTCCCCAAGCCCAACTGGATGGCCTGGGGTGGCAACGGGGCAGCGCTGGGTGGAGGGGGCTCAGGCCTCCAATTCCTGTCATTCCAAATGTCCCATAAAAAGAGGCACACTAATTCTACACCTCGCCGTGAAGCTGCCCCCCTTCCCATTATCGCGCAATTCCCTGGTGAGAGTCGAGGCAGAGTTTTGGCGATTTCTGTAACCCAGGGGCACTGGGAAGCCCACATTCTCCTGGAAGTCAGAAATCACCAAGTCATGTATTCCAGTGGGTGTGGGGCTGCGAACGTGTCGAAGTCGGGGGGCGGGCGGGAAGGGATGGGCTGAGGCAGGCTGGGCAGTGAAAGGCATCACCTCCCCAGCTTTACCTGGGTGGTTTGGCCTCTGGCACAGCCTGACAATACAGGTTGAGAGTGAGGCCCTTTCCCTAAAACATTTGATAGCTGTTCTGACAAATATCTGAGGCCAAGGAAAAGGGAAAGGAAAAGGCTATGGGGAGAGGAGCTGAGGACAGAGAGAAATGGGGTCATTGGGAGAGGAGAGGATGGCACTGGCTTTCCGCCTGGCACACTTGGAACCTCAGAATGATGGTGAGGAGCATGAAAAAGGGTCCCTGGCATGGTCCAGCCCAGCTTCCTCACTGTGTAGAGGGGAAACTGAGTCCAGGCAAAGTGAAGGGATGTTTCAGCTGCTGATGTCTCCTTTGGTGTTCTCCCAGCTCACTCACATTGCTCAGCAGATCCAGTACCTGGTACCTATTTCTTGACTCATTTATGGGGAGGCAGGGTGAGCTGGTTCACAAGTGACAATGGTGGCATAGTCAGGGCATCTCTGGAGTATCCTCCTAACAGTGGTGCTCAACCTGCTGCACCACAGAATCAACTGGGAAGTTCTTTTAAAAAGGACGCCGAGGCTCGTCCTTGGAAAGTCTAATTCAAAGGTCTGGGGTAGGGCTCTGCCGGTATGTTTTGGAAGCTCCTCCCCATGTGAGTCTAATGGATAGCTAGGCTGAGAACCACCGGCCTAAAGAAAACCTGGTGGCTGAAATTCAATATTCTCAGGCTGGATCCCCACGTCTGACAATCACACCGACAAAAATCTTTCCTCAGTTGGCCCATCTATGAAACTGACCCATCATCTATAGTCGTCCAGTGCCCTGTTAGTGGGCTAGCAACACCGGCATCATCTGGGAGCATGTTAGAAATGCAGAATCTGCGCTAGCCAGTTTGCTCAGTGGTTAGAGAGTCGGCCCTCAGACTGACAGTTCTTGGGTTCAATTCCAGTAAAGGGCAAGTATCTCGGTTGTGGGCTCGATCCCCAGCCCTGGTCAGGGCATGTGCAGAAGGCAACCAATCGATGTGTCTTTCTTACATTGATGTTCCTCTCTCTCTCTCTCTCCTCTCTCTTTTCCACTCTCCCTAAAAAGCAATGGAAAAAATACCCTCGGGCGAGGGGTAAAAAAAAGAAAAAGAAATGCAGAATCTCAGTTTCTACCCAGACCTACTGAATTTCAGTAAAATCCCCATGTGATTCATATGCACATTCAAGTTGAGAAACTGCTCTATGGGGAAGCAGGGTCACTCTTGGTTGGCACATAATAGACATTTAAGAAATGTCTGTTTGTTAAGTAGAATTTTACTTATAAGAACATTACTAAGAAAAGAATCACATCTTAGGCAAAGAGACTCAGTTTAGGTGTAAAAACTGAAGACCATTTTTGAGCTGTAGGACTGGTGACAGGGGTCCACTGAAACCTCAGGGTGGGTCTCTGGCATTACCATAGCTCATGAGGGCAGTGCTCCTAGGTTCCTTGAGATGACAATGCGAAGACTGGTTAGAAAGGGTTAAAGTCCTTTGACCTCCCCCTGGCCCCATTTCCCTCTCCATGGGGACTGCACCCTAACTTGGCAGGCAGCCCTCACACATCTGCCAAGTGTCGACTCTCTCAGAGCCTGCCCCTCTCCTCCAGTGCTGCCAGTTCCCACTGCTGAAGCCCAGGCAGCAAAAGTGGTTCGCCAAGGAGGGCAGCATCCAAAGACAGCTGCTGGGAGCTGTGCTCAGAAGGCACTTCACACCCTGGGCTCTTCGCAGCCAGCATCAATCACTAGCTGGGTCTCAGAACTTGGATAGGGAGGTAGCAGCCAAACCTGCCACAGGAGGGGCGTCTCAGAGGCCATCAAACAGAACCAGGGGCTGGCTGGGGATCCAGTGACAGCGGGCCTGGAGTAGAAGAAGCTGAGCATGAACCTTAGAGGGAGAAAGGGGAGAGAAGGGCTCTGGGGGCTGGGCCCAGGACTGCCAGTGAAGGGATATAAATCAGATTTGCCAAAAAGGGAAGGCGGTGAAAAAAGACATCCCTGTAGGTGTTAAGAAGGGAAGCGGGGTTTGATGAGCCCTGCTCTCTTTTCTTGTACTTTGTGAGACTGGGGTGGGGTATGGCCATTAATTGTGCTGCCTGGCAAGTTTATGCTAACCTGCCACTTCCTGAGCTGCAGAGAGGAGCAGCAGGGCCCAAGGAGGCCCAGCCAGACACTGGTGTTGGCTACCTCGAGGCCTTGTTAGCAGGGGGTCTGTAAGGAGCTGAGGGGGTAGTCTCATGCCAGCACATCCAGCCTGCCTTCCATGGGAACCAAAAGGGCCTTGAACAGTGACTCAGGAGATACGGTGGCATCAGTAGGGTCGACATACCTATCGCTGAGTCACGATATGGGGTGAGCAGGTTTCTGAGGACTAGGGGGACCCAGGACTGCTTCGTGCCAGTGGCAGGTCCTTGGGAGAGTGAGAAAGGAAGAGGGGCCCCTCAGGCCCTTCCCGGAGGCCCCTGACTCATCTCCAGCAGCACAGAATCCTAAAATTCAAGACTGAGTGCGAAATAGCCAAGCACTTTCCTAGTGAGAGTGGCAGAGGCCGAGCTCCAGCTGACGGTGTGAATCAGGTCCAGAAGCCCCATTTCTCAGCTTTCAGTATCGTCCTCTCTCCCCGTCCCAGTGTTTGCCAAACTGTCTTGCAGCACAGCAATTCTGCTAGAAGTTATTAGCCAGGGATTGTAAAGAGGACTTTGCTGAGTTCAAATGCACCACAACAGGTTCCTTCCTGCCGTCCTAAGCCAGTCGCTTTGCGACTAATGGAGAGGCCAGTGTAGGGCCACGGAGCCCCTTTTGTGGGTGAGCATTTGCCAGGATTGATGCTCTGCTGGACACTGTGGGCAAGGCCGCTCTAACCACCAGTCACTGGAAGAAATGCCTCACCTGGTCAGGATCTTGGGAAGTCCCTGAGATCAGCTGCCCTTCCTGGCTGGGTACATCGCCCCATGCCCTGTGTCTGCTGCCACTGGCCTGGCTAGGTTACCTGGACCTGGCAGCCATTGCCTAGAAATCTTGCCTTATCCTGGCCCTTCTCGAGAAAGGACAAAAGCCAAGGCCAAAGGCTGACCCCATCCCTGACTCCCTCACGCCTGGCGGTACGTGGCAGACAGGCTGCTCCCTGCCGTCACTCTCCACACTCTCCCAGGACATTCCGGCCCGCGAGGAACATGCCCAATGTGCAAATCCCTCAGGTAATGCGGGAATTCGTCACCAGGGGAGCGTGGGCGATCCAGGAATGGGAACTCGATCAGGGCCTGGAGCTAGAGAGACACAGCCCAGGCTGGCCAGCGAGGGCTCAGGTTGCAGTGAGCAGGCTCCTCGGGAAGAGGAGAGGACAGTGAGGATGGAGCCCTGTGGGCAGCATGTGGGCAGGGCTCCTTCTTCCCTGTTCTTAGGGAAAAGACAGCAGACCATGAACCAGGTGGTTAAGACCAGGTGACCATCTGTCCTAGTTTACACCTGGCGTCCAGGCATAATTATGAGTAGAGCCCCTCTGACTCTCAGAAGTGTTGTGTTGTGGTTTGGATGACTATTGTATGGTCACCCTGGTTAAGACAGACCTGCAGGTAGTCTCTTCCGGCTCTAACTTTCAGAACTTCCAAGCTACTGCTTTACTTTACCTGAACTGCAAACTCAATCGGTATCTCAACCAGTCTAACGTTCGAAGTAAAAGTAGAGATGACCTTTCTCCAGTCAAGAGTCTCCAAGGACAGTCCCAGGGCCGGTGTGGCCACCATGCCATGCCACCTACTACCTATCCCTGATGCCAACAGTTCACCTGCTACCACCCATGACAGACGAGCAGGTATCAGGCCTCCAGCTCCTGACTCATGAGATGAAACTGTGCTGGGCTCAGTCTGAGTGCCCATGCCACCATGCCCACGCCTACTGCACACTCATACCAGTAAAACCATCGCTGGACTCTGCCACCCGAGGAGGAAAGAATGAGAAGCCGGGTTAAGGTCTGTGGAGGGATTTTGAGTGGGAAAGCACCAAGGAATAAGACAGTATTAAATCACCATGCTTCCCTTTTGCCCCACGAGTGGTTTCAGGAAGGTCTGTGCATCGGCAGACAGGCCAGACCTTCCCTGCTCAAAGCCCGAGTGCCTTCTGCTCAGCCCCATCTAAGCACCAGCTACAACCGACTGCACCACCTCCAGGGTTGGGGGTTTGGGGTTGGGTGGGTCCTGGGGAGGAACAGCAAGAAAAGAGAGGAGTCCACAGCAAGTTCGTGTCCGCTCAGACGTGCAGAGGTCAAAGCACAGCCTGGTTAACACCAAGAGCCAGCCCTCTTATCATGGAAATAGAAAGAGGGAAAGGCTGGTTAAACATGACGCACCTATAAAATTATATTGGTCCACCGTAACCATGGAGCACTCACACAAACACACGTAAATCCGGCCACTCATCCCTTGCCCCTTGAGTGCCTTTTTATTTTCTATAATTAATCGGGCAGGGGTGGAACTTGGGAAAAGTTCAACCGTGGTCAGAATCTGCAGCCTTCTCTCTAGTAATAACCCACCGGGGGCGGGTGGGGGCTGGACGGAGGCGCAGCTGCTGGTGTCGGGTTACCTGAAGCATGTTGAGGAGCAGGCTCCGGAACTTGGTCCCCTCCACCATGAAGAGTGCCATCTTGTCGCAGAGCTTGGCGGCCGTGAAGGCGAAGCTGCGGTCGGACACGGCCTTCTGGTAGATGGTCCGGACGATCTCGCCCAGCATCTCCTCAGAGTTGGTCGAGTTCTGGGCCTCCTCCATGAAGGTGGTGAGCTTGGCATCCACGTCGCTGCTGTTGTTACGCATGCTGTTCAGGATCTCAATCAGCTTGTCCATCTTGTTCTGCTGAGGGTTGGTGGGCTCCACTGCCACTTCATCCTGGGGGCATGGGAGACAAACCGAGTCATGCCTGAGTGGAGCTGAGGTTTCTGTGTGTGTGTGTGTGTGTGTGTGTGTGTTGGAGAAGTGGACCGTGGAGGGATGGCTCCTACCCCCAGGAAGGACCCAACCCTACCTTCTAGAACCCGGGGTCTGATCTCCAGGAATGCTGACCTCCACCAACGACTCTCAGATCCCATGGCTCTCTGCTCACCGTTGCCTTGGCCCCTGTGACATCCTGAACTCTGCCTCTTACCCAGGATTCTCATATGTATTGGTTTTATTTGTCTACTTGTCCATCAAAGGTCTCAATCCAGAAATGATTTAATAGGGCTTATAAAAGATGAAGTAAGATAACAAATAAAAAATTGGGCCAAAGAGAAAATGAGAACAGGAAGACTAGGTCAGGAAGGAAGGTGGCATTCAGAATGCTTGCTATGTTGGTCAGAGGAACCCCCGGAGTAGCTCTAGGTCCCTAGAGCCCAAGAGTGGTTGTGTTCTCTGGACATAGGGATCCCTGTGGACATGGTCTTGGCCTTGTGTCCTATGGAGACTGTGCTGGCCTTCTACCGAAAACACTGCACACCAAGGAATCCTCCAATGTGTCACTAAAACAACGCACTTCTAGGAGGGAAGTTTCAGACAGAAAGCCCTATACCCTTATGGGGTTTCAATGCCACTGCACCAGAGCCAGGCTGGAGGAGAAAGAAAAATGGTACGTGACAGTCTCAAAAGTATTTACTCAAACACAACAGGTTGGTGGCCAAGAGTATGATTGACTTAACTGCTGGCACGTGAGGGCAGAGTGAAGGGCAGGATGAGGGGCATGAAGTAAGGCCCCCACCTTGCCCTTCTGCTCTCAACATGGAGAGCGTTGGGCTGGGAGGCACAGACAGACGTTCTAGAACCTGCTCTCTGCCTCTAGTTAAATGGCTTTGGGAAGTGGTTTCACTTTCTGGGCCTCAGTTTCCTCACTGGTAACATGAGGAGGTTATACCAGAAGGTCTACAGCTTTCCCTGAGCCCTGCCATTGCCTGAGCCGATGTCCTTCTGGTCCAGGAGGCCTCACCTGAGGGGAGCCCTGAAACAGGTGAATGGGTGCTATGGATCTACCTTATCTGTTCTATTCCCATGGCCCTTACCTACCCCACTACCCAACCACCTGGGCGCCAGGGCAGGAGTAATGGTTCATATGTGGAATAATAACCACACATGAGGGTCTTTATACATGTTATGACAGTTCATCTTCATAGTCTATCTGCAAGGTGGGTAATATTGCACCTATTTTGTAGACAAGTAAATGGGCTCAGAGAGGTTAGGTAACTTGTCCAAGGTCACCAAGCCAGTCAAGGCAGAGTGAAGACCCAGGCTGGCTTTCTGGACCATGAAGCCCATGTTATTTCCACTCCGCAGCACTACAGTTAGATTTATTAGACCTGGACAGAATCTGGTGGACAATCCTTGCTCCCTGGCTGGGCTGTAGCAATCTGTCCCAGAAGCTGTTCAGGTGACAACTGCACACTGGTCGTCACTTGGGAACTTCTTCTAGGCTCGTTTTGGGACATAGGGGACATGAGAGGCTTTCCTGAAGGACCTTACAACTGCTTGCCCCGTAGGGAGCAGGGGGTGGAGGGTGCTAGGAGCAACATTTCAGCCTCCAGACTGGATTGGGGAAGGGGTCTAATCTGCCTGCTCTGCTCAAGGGTGAACCTGGGCCTGGCCTTTGGGGAGGAAGGGAGAGGAGAGAAGGCAGTAGAGAAAGGCCAGAGACGCTCAGAACTCGGAGCTCCCCAGAAACCCCAGGAGGACTCAGGAGGTCTTTTCAGGAAGGGTTCCTCTCCAAGGTGACCTTACCTTCACCCTGGGCTGGGAAGGGGAGCTGGGGGAAGCAGAGTGAATGTAATGCTGCCAGAGATAGATCCCATCCCTCCTCTGGAGGTTTGGGGGTGTCTCCTGAACTTGTGAATCAAGCTCTAGTGATGCTGGGAGTGAGGGCCTCCTTAAATTTTGTTCCTTACACCCTTCACTGGCTGCTGGTGGATGAAGGGGGCTGGCACTCTGCTTGACACACCTTTTTGCTCTTGACCCTGGCAGGGACCACAGCCTGGCTGGTACTTACCTTGGGAGAAGCCCCAAGGTCCTTCCTATCTTATAAGCCCGTGTTTTTCCCAAATGGCCTTTAGCATGAACAGGGCACTATCGGACCCCAGAACATGCTGCAGGAAAGAACCAAGCCTTCCCTATACCTTCCCATCGCCCCCAGGCATGGGCCTCCTCCCCCCCTCCCCGCTTAGGCTGGCGGCTGGTACCAAGTGCCCACCTGGGCCTCTTGAAAGGCCAGAAGGTGTGGGTCCAGAATGTGCTGAGGGGTTCATGCAGAGCTGGCCACGGGCCTGGCCTCTGGTGGCCAGGAGCCCCCAAGGCAGCGGTGGCCAGGGGTGGTGGCTCCTGCTTCCCTCCGCAGGCGCCCCAGGCCCTCAAACCCGAGCCCACCCCCAACGTGCCTACCTCACGCCGTCCTCCCAGGAGGAAGAGAAAAAGGAAAATTCAATTACCGGTACCTTTTCTTTCAGCCTCCGCCGCAGCCTGTCTTTGGAAGACTGGAGCAGGGTAATTTTGGGCCGCTCCCCGATGCGCTCGGGGATAATACTGTCTTTACGCTTTGTCTCGGCCTCTGGGGCTCCTGGCTGCTGCGGGGGCAGCCTTTCAGAAGCCACTGGGGCCGGGCCATCGGGGCTGCGGGGGGGCTCGAGGCCACTGTGCCCGGCGTCCCCCAGGGCATCCTCAAGTTTGGGGCTCTCCATGGTCAAGGTCTCTTTGGCATTGCGGTGGGCGCCTGCCTCCCCCCTGTCGCTGGGTGGGTGCTTCATGTTGCTGTGGTGCCAGCGCCGGTTCTGGCTGTAGCCGTGATGGGTGGGCCTCCCTGAGGGGTGGGGCGCCGAGCCCCCCTGGTAAGATTTCTGATGGTCCCTGTTGTGTTTGGCACTGCCCGGCTGGTGGTCACCGTGCTGTTGGGGCTTGTTCCCTCCTGGAGGTCTCTGCTGCCGTCTGAAAACCAAAGAGGAAAGACAGGGAGGGTCACTGGGTGGGCTGCTCAGGGGCCCTATGTCCAAACACTGTAAGAGGAATTCACCTAGTTGCTCGTTTATTTAGTCTTTCAACACCCCTAGTGAGTGCCTCCTGTGTGCCAGGCTCTGTGGCAGGGCCTGGGGATACAGTAGAGAATGAGACGACAGGTTCCTGAGATCACAGAGGATTTAAGTCCATCCTTGACTTAAGTGTTTTATACCTCTACTAGAATATGCACTAACACATGAATAAAATTAAAATAATACAATATGCAGTGAACCCTCCTAACTTTGTGTCTGCAGCCACTCTATGTCCTCTTAAAACAACTGTTACCATTTCACGCATCTTCCAAACATATCTAATGCATGTTCCAGCAAAAATATATATTCAGATCTGTATCCGATATTAACTATACTGTTAATGACTTTTTTAAGTCCTCACCTGAGGACATGCTTAGAGAAAGGGAGAAAGAGAGAGAGAGAAAGAGAGAGAGAGAAACACCCATCAGTTGCCTCCACTGGGGATAGAATCTGCAACCCAAATATGTGCCCTGACCGGGTATCGAACCGGTAAATTTTCAGTGCACAGGACGACACTGAACCAACCGAGACACTCCAGCAGGGCTCTTGTTAATGTTTCAAGAGCCTTTTTACCATAATGGCTCTTGAAAAGCTATGTCATTTAAACCACTTTTTTTTTTTTTTGCTACGGTGACGTTTTCAACCCCAGACCCAATAACAAAATATACTATAAGAAGTTAAGAGCTGAATTGTGTTCCTCCCACCCCAATTTATGTGTTGAAGCCCCAACCTCTCAGAACCTCAGGAAGTGACTATATTTGGAGACAAGACCTTTATAAAGGTGATTAAGTTAAAATGAGGCATTAGGGTGGAGCCCAATCCAATATGACTGTTGTCTCTATAAGAAGAGATAAGGTCAGATGCACTCATGCACAGAATGACCATAAGAGGACACAGCAAGGTGGCCATCTGCAAGCCAGGGAGAGAGGCCTCAGGAGAAAGCACACCTGCTGACACCCTGATCTTGGACCTCCAGCCCCCATAAATGTGAGAAAATAAATTTCTGTTGTTTGGCGACCCAGTCCGTGGTATATTATTATGGCAACCCAAGCTGATGAATACAGAAGTGATATTTAGCATAATGGTTTTAGGCAAAGACAGGCTCACTGATTTACTTGACACAACGCTTTCTAAGCAGAGCATATCATATGGAACAACTCTGAGGTGTGCACTATGGGACAAACCAAATATTTTGATTTGTGGATTGCAGGCAAGCAAGGTGTGTGTGGGGGGGCATTCTGACGACCCTTCGTCTTGTGCACAAGGAATCTTCTGCCACTGGAAGCCCTCTGTGTCCCATCTCTATTCCACATTCACGGTGTTTTCTGTGCCATGGCTGTATTTGAGTGCAACTGGAGAACAAGATAACCATGAGCCCCTCCAAAGTTGTAAAGTCAGAGAAGAAAGTTTGCAGAAAGTAGACTACCTTCTAAAAAATGAGGCCCACAGTGTCAGTCTCTGTGACCCATCTTTTTGGTGGGTACAATAGAGCTTCCTTGCATTGCATTTTATGAATGAATCATATTTATTTTCTTTCAAATTATTACTGATATAAACTCAATTTGAACGCCTATTTGATAATTTTGTGTCTGTAACAATTTAGGCATATCTTAGGTTGGAGTTAAACATATCATTTTCCCATTAAAATGAATGAACACACTTTTTTTTTTAAAAAAAGCTTTCCCTAAGTGGCAGGGTTTTCAGGGGAACTTAGTTGTTAAGTGAGAGACAGGTATATGGTGCTCATTCTGTTTCCACACAAATGGTAACTTACAATACATTGTATGTAGTAGTCCCCCCCCTTATCAGCAAGACCCCTTGTGGCTGCCTGAACCCTATATATACTATTCCCCCTCCCCATACATGCAACCTTTTCACTTCACGGCTTCTCTATGGCATATCCAAATTGCCAGTAGCAGTACTCTTGCACTTTGGGTTCGTTATTAAGAAAAATAAAGCTTACCTGAACACAAGCACTGTGAATACCATGGCAGTCGATCTGATAGCCAAGGTGGCTACTAAGTGACTAAGTGGTGGGGGGCATATACAGTGTGGAGATGCTGGACAAAGGGATGATTCACGTCCAGGGTAGGATGGAGTGGTATGCTACTCAGATTGGTGTGCAATTTAAAACTTATAAATTGTTTATTTCTGGAATTTTTAATTTATATTTTCTGATCAAGGTTGACCATTGGGAAAACTGAGACCGTGGAAAGTGAAACCGTGGATAAGGGGGATTACTGTATTAGAAGTAGAAACCTGTATATCTCTGGGTGGAAATTTGTAACAAGGGCCTCTAAAACATGCAAACTACTGGGCCTTGCAACTCCACTTGTGGCAATTTACAAAGGAAATAATCGAAGATGCGCACAGGGATGTAGGTATAAGGATGTTCACAACAGCAAGGTTTGTAACAGCAAAAACCAATGTGGAGCAATGAAGAACATGGTGAAAGTTCCCTCCTGATGGAAGAAAGCACGTGTTGTAATGTGTGCAGCATGGTGCTATTTTTTAAGGCAAGCATTATATAAAAGCATATAGCATAAAAAATTCTGGAAGGATACACACCAAAATGTTAACAGTGGTTTTTTGAAATGAACATGAATTAATTTTTCTAAGCTTTGTATTGTGAGGTCACTATAGATTCACAAACAGTTGTAAGAAATATGGCAGAGAGATCTTTTGTATCCTTTACCCAGTTTCCTTCCATTGGTAACATCTTGCAAAACTATAGTACAGGATTTTGACACGGATACAAGTCAAGATACAGAACATTTCCATCACCCCAAAGATTCTACATATCCCCATTTGATGGTCACACTCACTTCCCTCCCACTACCTCCTCCTTAGCCCCTGGGAACAACTAATCTAGTTTCCACTTCTACAACGTTGTCATCTCAAGAATGTTACATAAATGGAATCACACAGTACGTAACCCATTGGGATGGACTTGTTTCACTCAGCATAATTCCTGTAGATTCATCCAGGCGGTTGTGTGTATCAACAGTTCATCCCTTTTCCCTGGTGACTAGTATTCCAGAGTGTGGATGTACAAGTGAATTTAACCATTTACACACTGAAGGACATTTGGTTGTTCCCGGTTATAGGCTGCTATGCACAAAGCTGCTAGGAACACTTGTGTACAGGTTTTTGTGTGGACACAGTTTTTATTTCTCTGGAATAAATGCCTGGGAGCACCATTCCTGGGCTGTAGGATAGTGGTATATTTAGTTTTTTATGAAACTGTCAAACTGTTTTCCAGAGAGGCTGTACCATTGTATATTCCCATCAGCAATGCATGAGAAGTTTCCAGGCATTATTTCTTTGGGTAATTTTTCAGCCCCACCCTTTTTCTTGTCTACTTTCTAGATTCTAAGGACACGTGAAGGTCAGTGCATTCGTTTTCGGTCTATTTTCTCTCTGTGGCTCAGACCGGATCATTTCTATTGTTCTATCTTCCAGTACGACAGCTCTTTCCTTTGTTCCCTCCGTTCTGCTGTTGAGCCGATCTATTGTTTTTAACTTAACTGTTAAGTTTTCGTTTGGTTCTTTGTAATATCTTCTATTTCTTTGCCAAGATCTATTTTTCATTTGTTTCGAGTGTATTTCTAATTGTTCTTTGTAGCATTTTTTATGTTGGCTGCCTTAAAATCTTAGATAATTCTAACATTTCTGTCATCTCAGTATTGACATCTACTGTCTTTTTTCATTCAACTGAGATTTTTCTGGGTTTTGGTATGACAAGAGTTTTTTCAGTTGAAACCTGGACAGTTGAGGTATCAGTTATACCTAAAGGGCTGCAGTGCCTTGTGGCTGCCAGGTGGGGAGTAGGGGTCAGGTTCCCCACTGCCCCACACTGACACGGGTGCCTTATCGCACCCTGGGAGGAGGGTGGAATCTCGGCCCCTCACCTGGCCTTTGGGGTCAGTATTTTCTGGGGCATTCGCCTGGAGTAGAGCAGAGAACCTAAGAGATTAAGAGTCTCCTGTCTTGTGAGGCTGCCCCTTTCCTGGTTCTTCGGCTAGAGAGGGCAGGTTTCTGTTGGGCTTTTTGGGTCTGCCTGCGCTTATTGGCACTTTGGGTTGCCAGCTTCTTTAGCTCCAAGTCTAGGATCTATGAGGTCAAGAAGAAAACTCAAGCAAGTCACCACCGTGTCACTCTTCAGGTGCCACGGGCCCCAGTCTGCCTTCTCTCTACCTTCCGGAGTCCTCTTACGTTTGTTTTTATATATGATGTCTAGGGGGTTTAGTTGTCTGTATTACTTTAGTCATTTAAGAGTCATTAGAGAAGCATTTACAGCAGCCTGGTATGTTGAGCTGAGCGTGAGGCCTGCATGGTATCTTCATCCTTGCCTGGGTGCCATCTCAGTGGGCCTAATGTTAAAGTTCTGGAAGATGGTCAGTTTGCATTGACAGCAGGGGAGGGTCACCAGCGTGGACACCCAGGGGAGAGTTGGGCCCCATCAGCAAAGTGAGTCACCGAGTCAGGCTTCTCCCAGGGATCACCAACTGGCCAGGAAAGAAGTTCCATGGCCTGCCAACTCCCCAGGGTGCCGTGTGCCTGCGGCTGTAGTGAATTCTCCCTACTTTTATTTTTCATTACTTTCAACTAATTGGCCCTATCTCCTTCCACTCTCTTTGTTCTTTGCGTGTGAGTAATCTTTAAGCCCCGAGAAGAACTTTGGAAATTCCCTGGCAGATAATGCTGGAGTCACACAACTTCTGTCACCCTTATTTAGAATTTTTGTGGTGCCTGCAGCTCTGGCCCAAGGATGCCCCCAGAGAATGGCTGACCAAGCCCTTCCCAGCATTTGTCTTGAAACTGTCTGGTTTCCCAGTTACCATATCAGGGATTTCCCTTCCTTTGCCCTAAATCCGCCCCCTCCCCAAACCAAACCAA